CACGATTAAATTTTGGATTTAAAGCCAAAATGATCGGGAGAAATTGCACAAAACGTATTTTTAGAAAAATAGAACGTTTAAATTAATATTAATGGATGTTTTAGTTTTGAAAGAGGGAATATAGGGCAATATTTCTTTGAATTTGTTGACGTTTTCCATCTTTTATGAGTACGAAAGATGCATTTATCTCTGATGCATCTATCTCCTTTTACAAATGAACAAATTTTGTAATCAGTTTCTTGAAAATTAATATTATTGTTATTAAACTTTTTAAATTTTAAAATTAATATTAATCTAAATTAATGTTAGTTCTGTAATGTTCATTGTTCCTGTTTTGAAGTTGTAAAATTCCAAATTTAGATTCTAATGTTTTTCAATAATGATGCCACTACAGCCACCATTTTTTTAAGCTGTGATACTCTCTGAAACCAAATATTTTTAACACTACTGTGATGAAAAATGTAAAAATTAAAAAGATTAATAATGGTTCAAATACATAGTTGAAAAACATCAAAATTAAAATGTTACTGGAGATGTTTAGTGTGATTAAAGTAAGAAAATTGGCGTATCTAAATAACTTAATGCATCTGCTCCGTAATGCAGAAGGGATGAAAAATTATTTCCAATCAAAATACTGCACTTATTTTCATAACTGTCTTGTGATTTTTGGTATTTGTAGGGTAACACTTATTTCTAGTCATCAAAAAGTGCTGAAACTTTTCAAATTTTTGTCAACTGTCGCAGAGATCTGAAACCAGAGAAGGTAACTAGTGAGTCATTCAGCAGACCTCATACGCTTTCTAATTGCTCGTTGCTCTGCAACCTGTTCGTCTTTCATATCCATCCACTTTCGCTCTTGGGGTTCCTAAAAACATTTAGTCTTCTTTTATCTTTGTGAATTGCGTTGCCCAAGTTCTCTTTCTCTTAGGCCAGGCGCACACTGGACCACTTATGATGGCCTCAGCCTAACGAGCAACGACTCATGGCCACAAGTTGCGGGCGTAGCCTGCATTTCAAATTTTATATTTTAAGTTTGTAATTTTCAAAAATACAGAGAATTGATCTACGCGAGGCGCGGCAGATAACGTATGGCACTACTTTGAAGATATGTAGACGCTTTCCTACACAGAGTAACTGGGTATAGAAGAATTAGCTTAAGAATGAGCCAGAATGACAGTTCGCGTAACAAGTGAAGATCACATGAAATTGAGAGAAGCATCCCTCCGTCGCAACAGCTATTCAGCCACGCCTTTTCATAAAGTGTTTATGTTTTAAATGGCTCCCGTTAAGACATCATGGCTTCTCAAGGTTCACAACCGTGAAATTATATTAAAAAGATTGATAAAATGCAAACCATGGAACGTTCTTGATCACAGCTCGCCACTTTACCGCACAGCAGCAGGAAACTTTCGCCAGTACGCGTCTGTCATTCAAGACACTATTTTCAAATAAACAATTCTTATGACACTAAAAGTAAATTCAGTGTAATATTTATAAAAAAAATATTTTTTACTGAAGAGCATAGTAGCACTGCACTTCCTAATTTCAATTATTTCTCATTGCGAACTGTATGGTCATCGGACGAGAACATCACAAAAGACATCGAAGCCGTTTACAAGTTAGCCAACTGCAAACAAATGAACGAAGAAAGGAGAGTCGAACGAACTGAAGGACACAAAAGTCAGAGAACCTTTAATTATGTTGCAGCACTAACTTGTGTGTGCCCGAGTGTCCGCCCGTTACTTAAAGCTGCGTCTCATCCGATCCACCACTCGAGGCAATTAAGACTCTCGACGCGTCTCGGGCAATTGTAGGGGAACTAATCCTTTTATTTCCAAAAAATATCTAAAAAAACTTATTTTCTCAAGGGATATTTTTCTGTAGGTAGAAATGACACAAAACAAATGGCATTTGTGTCTTCATCTCTGTTTTTAATTGTTTGATAGATTAAATATTTTGTGTTTCTAAATAAGCCCGAAGGTGGCGTCTGATCTTCCGGCATGTGCCGTAGTGTAGTGCATGTAAGTGTAAATGTATATAAGTAAGTGGAGAGGATAGGGCAAGGAAGAGGAGAGAAACAAAGATATCTTGGACTGACTGTTAGCGTAGTGTTTCGATATTCGTCTGGTAATGATCAGGAACACCACGTAAAACTACCAATCAGAGCAGCCAACCGCTAGAATTTTCCTCTAGACACTGACTCAGTTTGACCATGTTCTCTAGCTGGTATCGAAAATTCTCTACCGTCAATACTCGAAGCCTATGACCTGCCGGTTAACAACCTTGCTAAAGCAACGTTGTTACCACTGGGTCATCCCAGCCCATCATTCCTCGTTTTGTCGTAAAGACACTCTGAAACATATGTGCATAACCATTGTTACACTCGTGTATTTTCTATGCCCGGCAAGCGTCAAGCGCAAAAGAATATTTAATTAGACGTCAGATGTCACAGCTAAACTTGTTGACTTCCGCATTTATTTGGTGATAGCTCAAAAACGGCCACGCTGTGTTGTGATAGAAACGTCTAAAGAGAGTGTTCAGAGGTGTTTATTAATGAGGGTTCGCTGGCGCCTGGACGACCACGAAGGTTCAAAAGAATCTTCAGCAAAAATAGCAATTTTTTTCTTCCTGGGGCTTAGTCAGATTTAGAAAAGGCCGATAACGACCATTCTCGGCCGGTATCCCCTATGTCCCTTATGGTCCCTATGACCCCTATGACCCATATTAACCTTTACACTAGACACTGACCCTCATGCAGGCTCCATGCTCAGCAGACGCACAAGGCCAACCGCGACAAAACACATACGTGAAAGACAAGGGGCAAACACCCACGCTCACGGACTACGAACCCGCCAAGGCTGGGGCTGAAGTGCTGAGTTCGAACACGCCCTAGGCATCCAGAGCCACAAACAAAAAACAATCTGATTCGGGCGTATTTCTGTTCAGATAAGATTTCTCTGGAGGAGGATGCTTTTGTGAAATGTGTCTCAAGTCAAGTTTGTGGTATTTTAATGAGTGTGGTAGTCACCTGATGTTTGAGGCAGTGCAGTGGTTGAACAGTGCAGGTAGAAAAAAGAACATCGCATCTTTCAGGAAAAGTGGACACGACTTTCTTTTTCTCTTTCTTGCGGAAGGTTGTCATTAAGCATTCCACAATTCGCACTAAAAAGTTTAAAAAGAGAAAATTCAAAGCTCGTGTAACGTTGAAAGTGCACTTTCTTTGTGATTCTGACAATATGATATAAAGTACATGGTTGCTGTTAACATCCATGAGAGGTTTCATAAAATTTAGCACTCGGGCTTCATCAACAGATTCACTTACAAATAGTTCGGGTTTACAAAGAGTGTTTGAATTTTGGTATTTTTCTGTTTATGTATGCCTTCTTTAATTTTGTATGTAGTGTTTACTGACTTCGATCAAATTCAACATTGCGTTCTGAGCTTTGTTGAGCATTCTTTATTATTTAAGGGTATACTTCACAAAGCTCATACCAATAATTACAATTCTTCTTCGATTTTTTTTCTTCTCGAGAACAGGTGGTATTGTGGTGCGTTTTCGTTGTCATTTACAATGAAATAATTTTATGAGTCGCCGTTACCCACAACATTGTTGGTAATGACGACTCGTATAATTATTTCATTCTCGAGAATAGTATGACTTTCAATACTATTCTCATTTATTTTATTACTCCTTCAGGTCGAATGCTTTAAGATGAAGTTTTCATTACATTGACCGTCATCGGGATATTTATTGGTGATAAAATTGTCCAACAAACATAATTTCATTTTAAATTCACATATCACATACAGATCAACTAGTACATGAAGTTGCAAAAGTATCTTTAACTAGCACAAAATTTCCACTATCGAGACTCTAACTTAGGTTTATCGACAAATCCCGCCGTGTGATTTATCGCTACACCATTCAGACCCTCTGACGTACTCACTTGGTCCGACGACGATTAAAAATGTAATTGTGTCTCCCAATATTTCCGGTCCGCAATGTCAGCACGCAACACAAAATACAGTGTCTTCAACGAAACTGAGAATACTATTCTTTGAAGCGTCTCTTGTTTTATTCGTGGAAAATCTATAAAGAAAATGTTGGTCTGGTTTTTGAGATTTTTTAAAATTTCATTAATTTCAAGCACAATTTACATTAAAACTATTTGACTTTTCAAAAAACTGTACATATTATTATATATTATGTACTGTACGTATGTATTATAAAATTATATAATATTATTTATATTAGTCCCCCTTTTGTTCTAATTATCATCTTATTTGTATTTACATTGTATTCTAAATTTTTTGTATATGTTTCTAGACTGATGATGGCTACAAAGCCGTCAAAAGCCGACTCTTAAAAGTACATCTATTAAGTTGACGAGATTATTGTTTTCTCATGTAATTACATTAATAATACCTCATCAGCATTCCAGCAAGTGTTCGAAAAAGTAATTTACTATATACAGAAACAAGATTTATCCAATTTTTCGTTACGAGTGCTCGGGAATAGGAGTTATTCTGTCGATACGTCGCTCACAACACACTTTTATCCATTCAAGAAAATTTGTTACATATCATTAACCGAAAAGAAATTTAGAACAAAATCGGTTTACAATAGTTTTAAGTTACTGTCTTATAAGTATATTAATCAATAATACTAATAAAAAAATTCACAATGAAATGTTTGAGACAGTCGACAGCTACGCGAGGCTCAGACGATATCATCCACTGTGCTTGCGTGTGCGCATACTTATCATGTATCATTTCATGATATGTTTACATATACATGATATAGGTTGATACATGATATTTTACATATCATGTATCATATTAAGTGACATCTCATAAAACTGTGACTTCGTGTGCCTGCTGCCTTTGCGAATGGCACTAGTCGAAACCAACATCCAACGTAAACAACAACTTAACCTCAATCGCTTAAAATGCACAAACCAAATCTTACGCTGGATCTGCTACTACTGATGTCTTTCCAGGAACCAAGGACCCAGCAATTATCATCGAGGCGCACGGAGGGTTAACACTGAAGAAATATGTAAGTAAACTAACTTATATTATACAATGTAGTGATATTCGTTTTGTGACGCGTATCGCGTATGTGTTTATTCTCAACCTCGCAGAAACCTGCTGATTGTATTTCTGATAAACACATGTCTCTCACTATTAATGATACTGAAGTGTCGCACCCTTACTTGTAAACACATCTGAGTTATAATATTCAATGTTTACCCTGTTATTCTTCATGAAGACATAAAAAACCAACTTAATGTTCAAATATCATCCAATATATGTTTCATAAGAGCTGCTAAGACTGATCCTAATTTGTCTCATATTTTGAGTTTGAAAAGGCAGACATCATTCACCCTGATGATATTCATAAATTATCTCCATCTCCATCTAATTCAATATCAAGACACTTGTTTTAAATGCAAATATGGAGACCATATTGCTAGTCATTGTCCAAACAAAGAGGACAATTCTGCCCCAATTGTAAATAATAGTTCAGAAGGTAATGATAGCACCTTAAAAGAAAATTGCCACTTGGATCATTCAGCACTACAAACTTATAACTCACCTCTTTTGGATTGTGATAACTTCTCTCCATTAAAAAAGATAAACTGTCCATCAAATTCATCACCGTATCCTGAGCTCTCTTGAACAAAAATACAAACTGTATTGATCAAATAAAAAAACAACAACCATGCCTCCTCCTTCAAACCCCACGAGCATCCCTCCTCATAAAAGAGCTTACCAACTTACAATCCTCTTCCTTATCTGAAACAACTCACTCTAATTATGATAATAAAAATCAAGAAGACAATATGGCACAACCAAAATGGAAAAAGAAGAAAAACACAAAAATGTCTTTAAAAAAATATTTTATTACTTTTTGTTCTATACACTCTTGCCTTTCAAGGGTGTTTATATAAGATTTCTATAATAATAGAGGATGAATCATCCTTAGGTCGAAGTGTCCATGTATCTGAGTCAAAGTATGGGTATAGATATGTTTGATTGCTAAGAAAAAGGAGCTTGGCAAACTTAGTTACTACTTTGTGTGTGTGTGTGTGGGGGGGGTGATGGGGACGTTGGCGCGAGTGTGGGTGCGGATGGGTGAGAGAGAGTGAGAGTGAGAGTGAGAGTAAGAGTGTGTGTGTGTGTGTGTGAGTGTGTGTTAGTGTGTGTGATTGATTGATTTTTCAGATGTTAAGGAGGCTTGAAAATGTCTTTAGAGTACCGTGAATGGATTCTCTTTGTAGTCTATAGTTCTTAGATAGTTGGTAGCTAGCTAGGAATGCTGAACGTGTGTCATAGATGTTTTTGAAATTTGATAATATACTTTTGTGGATTCTATATTTAACTCTCTATGCAGTTGTTCGTTACATATGAACCACGAAGCTTTGGTAATTTTTCTGGGGCACTTATTTTGTATAATTTGGAGATCATGTACGTGGCTATAGGCTGTTTTTATCCAAATGTGGCTCGCGTAGGTTAGTGCGGGTCTGATTACTGATTTCTAAATTATTTTAGCGCATTCGATGCTAAGTAAACATTTATGACTTAATATGGGAAAGAGGTTTATAATTTTTAGTATGTTTTGTTTACTGTTTGTGATATGTGCTTTCCAGGTTAATGTTGTGTTCATTTCGAGTCCTCGGTGTTTAACTTAACTGTTCTTTGGTTTGGTAGCCACGGTACGGGTGTGTTTTGGATGAGTAAAGGAGGAGGTAATTTTGTCTCACGAAGGATGAAAATCTTTGCTTATCATTTTGAAACGTTAATTTTGATTCTACATTTTTCAGTCCATTTAAAATATTTAAGTAAGTCATTTTGTAGTTCATTATGTGCGCATAAGATATTGTCGTGGGATATGAATATTTCCATGTAATCAACAAAAAAAGCTATTTCTGATGTGTGTTTGCGGAATATCTGATAAATAGGCATTGATGATGAGGGGAGAGAGGTGGAAACCTTATACTAACTTTCAAATATCTATTGGTCAGAAAGTTATGAATGATATTAAATATTGTGTCGAAGGCCTTTTCTATGTCCGGAAAAATTGCTAGTGAGTGTTTTCGTTAGTGTATTTCAGTAAATTCGTTAGGTGCAGTAGTTGGTGGTTACTAGAATATTTGGACTGGATGCCAAACTGAAAGTCGTGTATTGTTTTGCTATTTTTAAAAAAGATTATCAGTCTACTTAAAAGTAACTTTTCCTGGTTTACAGAAGGGTAACATAAACGTTTTCCACTTTTGAGGGAAATATTGTAATTTCAGAACTGCATTCAATAGTTCATTAGTGCGGCTACAGATCATTAACGTGCTTTGATGGAGCTATTGTCGTAACCGGTTGATTTTGTTTCTATTTGGGTGATGTGTTTGGAGGTTAATAAATAATGTTGCTATTGGTAAAAAAACAACTTAGGTTTGAAAATACTTATATTTTGTTTTGTAAATAACCTTATTTAAAGACTCAACTTTGAACAACTGATTTAATTAAGAAAACAATCTATACCTGTGATTTTGTAGTTGTTAGTAAAACTCCAAAAACGGGTTTTTGCAATTATCGAAAATTTAGTAAATTCAACGAAAATTTAAAAATATTTTTAACACTTAATTAAAAGTAAATCCAAAGATCAAAATATCTGTTTTTTTATGGTAGATGCTGTGATGTCACTCAAATTGATGAGTAAATATAAATTTTGGTGAAAAATCCTACTTACTGTTTTACCCGCTAGCATTGTTCACAGACGGACACGCAGACACAAGGTCAGACAGATAGACGGTCAGACTGACAGACGATCAGACACAGTTGAACAGACAGCAAACGAGAATACGGGCGGGCGGACCGATGGTTGGACTAATGGGCGGACGGGCGGACGAGTGGACGGACAGGCCTACGTGCTGACGGACGGATGGATGGACGGGCGGGCAGACGGACGGGCGGAGGAACGGTCAGTCGGGCAGACGGGCGTACGGTCGGGCAGACGGACGGGCAGACGGACCGGCGACGGACGGGCGGACGGAGAAATAGACGAAATAAATATCTCACCTTCTAAAAGTATTTGAATACAAAACTTTCACTGAATTAGATTCAAAAAACATTTAGATGTTTCTGAAGTGAACAGAATTGCATTTACGAGTATATCTCATATTCGTAATTCCATCATTAGAATCATAACTGCAGTAAAATTTCCCTTTCCAAAGGTTCTTTATTCTTTGGACATTTTAGATGCTTTGAATCCCAAATCTCTCGGACTCAGAGGCCAGAAAACGAGCTCATGGTTCAGTGGAGCGGAAAAACGGCGGCGAGCCGAGATATCGGTACAGGTTGAAGGGCACCGCGTGTAGAAACTCATATGACGAACGCCGCCGGTACCTTTCACATGCGCCATGAAACTGGCCCGAGTGCGATGAACTTCTCGAACAATTTTAACCAGTTCTATCCACACAACTTTCTCCCGAGCATCATCGGATACGCTCCCTGACCATTACCAAACTATCTGAAGCCGTCGTTAGTTTTTATCAAAGTGACGACATCCAACGTGCAAACTGAATAATTTGTAGTTCTGAGCTGAAACTCGTTCTGTCTTATTGGCTTGTCTTCTTGTTTGAGATATGCGTCGTTTGATTCAGCATTCCAGAAACTGGTGGGTCTGGTCGGTTCCGTTTTTCCTCCAACCACTCCCGAGCAGATGCCGAAGTAGACCCTAAGCAACGGAGCCACACACCGCGCGAGAACTTTCTTCTTCCTTGTCCCCTCTTTTTTCCAAACGTACATACTCTCTATCTCCTTCTACCTCTTCCTCTCTCCCTCTCTCTTCCTCTCCATCTCTATCTCCCTTCATACCTCTCTATCTCTCAATCCCTCTCGATCTCTCTCCATCTCTATCTTCTCCATCCCTCTCCATCTCTCGATCCCTCTCGATTTCTCTCCAACGCTCTCTCTTTCTCTCTCTCCATCTCCATCT